ACTGTCTTATTCTCTTTCGTCAATCAATATCCGCTTGCTATAACTGCATCAATTGGCTTTAATCCGGTCCTGGTAATTCTATTTTCTTTTTAAAACGTCGTAGTAAAATATTAACAATTTCTTTCTATTCTATCCTTTATATATCGATGTCTTTGTGTTTTAGATATAAAGCGGCTGTAGATATTTACTAACTTCGCTCAGTCTGGCAAAATTCCTAATATATGCATGTATTTTCTATGAATGACGAATAAAAGTTTATTGTGAAGTTCTTATAAGGCCCACCCTGTACCACATCGATAAGTTTCGTTGCCAAAATCACGGGAAGTCTAGTAAACAATCCCGAGGCAAAGAAAAGGTTACAACAGACAACACAACTTCGCATAACTTGGCTTCCACACCTATATAGATTTTTTTTTTACCTATATTCTTATTTCTTGCTCGCAGTTTCATTGGCTTTTGATTTTTGTTTTTCAAATTTACCAAAATATGAAAATGACAACAAGAGACGACGACAAAAATCGTTTCTTTTTTCTATTTTTAAAACTTATCATTTTCACCAGTTCATATATAATTCAAATATAAAACTAAATAGAAAAATAATTTAATATGATAAAATAATAATTTAGAAATATATCCACACATACAAGCACGCACACAAACATATATATATATATATATATATATATATAATGGTTAGAACTTTATTAAATATCTTTATACATAAATGTATGACAAAAAGGTGTCGGTCTCTTTCTTTCCTTAATTCTCTTTCTCTAAGGCACTCAAATATAAAAATATAATAACTACATTTTCTCTCTGATTATATATATGTTATCATGAATCTATTATGGAATAGCGATATCTGATCTGTCCTTATATCTTTTTATGTTGCCCTCTCTTTCTTTTCCTCTCTCTCTTTGACACACACACATACATGTATATGATGACCATATTTCTATTATCATACCTTATATATATATATATATATATATATATATATATATATATATAATCATATTTTGGTCTGAAGATTACGTAGAAGCCCGAAACAGTCTGTTACTATTCGGTATTGATCTATGATATATCTTGATTCTGAACACTTTTGCCCCATAAATATGGCATAACTTAAAATTATATTTTATCGCTATGTACACACACACACACACACACACACACACACACACACACACACACACACACACACACATATATATATATATATATATATATATATATATATATATATATCTATCACAAAAGTGAGTACACCCTCACATTTCTTCAAATATTTAAGTATATCTCTTCATTGGACAGCACTGAAAAAATTACCTTTTGACACAATGAAAAGTAGTCTGTCTGCAGCATATATAACAGAGTTAATTTCTTTTCCCCTCAAAATAACTCAAAATATAGCCATTAAAAGCTAAAACCCTGGCAGCAAAAGTGAGTACACCCCTAAGAAACTACACCCCTAAATGTCTAAATTGAGTACTGCTTTTCATTTTCCATCCAAAATGTCATGTAACTATGCCCATGTGTTCATGGGGAGCAGGTGTATTCAAATTTTTAGTACAGCTCTAACACTCTCTTACCGGTCACTGAAAGTTCCAACATGGCACCACATGGCATAGAACTCTCTGAGGATCTTAAAAAACATATTGTTGCACTACATAAAGATGGCCAAGGCTACAAGAAGATTGCCAACACCCTGAAACTGAGCTGCAGCACAGTGGCTAAGATCATCCAGCATTTTAAAAGAGCAGGGTCCACTCAGAACAGGCCTCGGGTAGGTCATTCAAAGAAGCTGAGCGCACGTGCTGAGCGTCACATCCAAATGCTTTCTTTGAAAGATCAGCGTAGGAGTGCTGTTAGCATTGCTGCAAAGATTAAAGAGATTGGGATTCAGCCTGTTAGTGTTCAGACCATACGCCACACATTACATCAAACTGGTGTGCATGGCTGTCACCCCAGGAGGAAGCCTCTTCTGAAGGCAATACACAAGAAAGCCCGCAAACAGTTTGCTGAAGACATGTCAACAAAGCCCATAGATTACTGGAAGCATGTCCTATGGTCTGATGAGATGAAATTTAATTTGTTTGGTTCTGATGGCCTTAATCATGTGTGGCGGCGACCAGGTGAAGAGTACAAAGATAAGTGTGCCATGTCTACAGTCAATATATATATATATATATATATATATATATATATATATATATGGCCGACGTTCAGACACATTCCAACTTCCGCGTTCTTTAGACGCAGACTAGATGAGTGCCGTTTGCCTAGCAGTAGAGGAAGGTTACATTTTCATCATATACTCTTGAAGTTATTCCTCTTGAAATGGTTCACTGTGCACATTCTTTGAATTAATCAAGTTTTTTGAGTGATACAGGCGATTCATGACAAAGCGATAGGATGTGTGTGTCGACACAAAAAGTGTGCAGTCATAAACCCCAAAAAGGGATACAAATGTGGACAACGTCCGAACCTTGGTGGGCACAGAACGAGAATTAAGTGTGCGTGTGACATTAGTGGAAATTTAGCCCTCCAGATGTCATTAGCACTCTTAATAAATAGGAATAATGTGAGAGATTCTAAGAGAGGATTTAGAAATAACAAAAATTATGCTTTTCCGAGTTCCTGATTGAGAAATTCATTGCAAAACTTAACTATGCACTGTATTCATCAGATTTAACGCCGATTTATATTATTTTCCAAATTCAAAAATGCCTTGAAAGAACAAATATTTGTTGAGATCTATGACATTCAGTAACACGTGACTACATTACAGAAAGGTATTCCAGAAAACGAGTTTCAAGAATGTTTCCAAAAATGATACTATCATCTCATGAAGGGCATAGTTCAACAAGAGGAATAACTTACAGGTGAAAGTAACTCATAATGTAATGACAGGTAAGCAAACTTGGCTTTTACAGGGCCATTCCTGTAAATAAACTCACAAAATGTGTGTGTGTGTGTATATATATATATATATATATATATATATATATATATATATATATATAAAGACAACTGGTAAATATCTTACACACACACAATATACACACACACACATATATATATATATGTCTGTGAGCATGAAACAAACTGTCGCCAGTCAGTGTTGACTTCGTGTACTTACAAACACATACGCGCGTTCACGCACACACACATTTACATATATATAAAAAGGCAAAAAAGGAAAGGTTATAGCCGACTTGTTTCGTCTTCTAAAAGGACTTTATCACGGCAAATACATTTGCCTTCGCAGGTCGAAACTTGTCGGTTAAGATAATTTTCCTTTAAAATTTCTATATATAATCTTTTTTTTATATATATATATATATATATATATATATATATATATATATATATATATATATAGTACGGTGGAGTAGCTGGATAGCGACTCGGATTGAGTGTAACACCAAAGATGGCAGAATTCGCAAATCTAAACAAAGAGAGCGCCCTGAAGAGAAGCAGGAGATTCCAAAGTCATCTGGAGGCCTTGGCTGAAGCCAATGGTGATTTCATTGAATAACTTTACTGTTGTGTGTATGTGTCTTTGTATGTGAGTGAGAGAGAGAGAGAAAAAAGAGAGAGGGGGAGAGAGAGACTTAGACTTGTTTTAGGCCCATAATATATGAAGTGGTGGTGATAAATTATCTGTCTGAAGCTCTTTCCAAAATCTGACCAATTTCAGATTTTGAATTGAGATTCTGGTCAAGAAGTTATTTAAATATCTTTTTTGTTTAACTGAGAATATTTCAGATCTCATATATATATATATATATATATATATATATATATATATATATATATATATACAAACAATAAAATTTAAATTTTCAGACACACTATTATACATGAATACTTTTTGTTTTATTATTTCAATTAGATTCCTCGACTAGTTTCGGCCAGCATGGCCATCATCAGGAGAAAAAATCTCTTTGTTAGTAGCAGTGAACTACAGGAATGAATGACTTTCTTATGAAAATGAACTTTATCTGTAGTTTTCATTTGTTTTTATCGTTAATTTTTAATCGTTTATATATATATATATATATATATATATATATATATATATATATAAAATATATATATATATTTTTTATATATGTATTTATATATATATATATAAACACATATATAAATATATACAATAGGCCTACCCATATTGCACCATTGACCAGCACATATAAATTGTCAAGTTAAAATACAACATACATGGCCTGAAGTTTGCGTTTAAAGCATGAAACAAACTATCGCCGTTGGCTGTTGGCCCGAATATCCACTTTTATATTTATACATGCTCTGTCCTTGATATTGAGCACTTTAACTCATAAATATCACATGCATCAAAACTATATATATATATTTTAAAATCATAAACATATATATATATATTCTGTACTCAGTTTCTATCCCATGACACACAAATATATCAAAGACTTCAGGTTGAAGAGAAACAAAGCATCACAATAATGCATCCAATATGACAAGTGAAACGCACAAAACTGTTTATTGGAAGGAACAATCGATGCGTTTCAAATGTTTCTCCTCTGTTGCTTTTATAAATTATTATTGTCTTTATTACGTTTATTATTCTCGGCGTAGAGTAATGGTTAGAGTGGCTTGACTGGTTGTTAATTATTACTAACTAGTAATCAGGTCGGTCTCCATTGTATGTTACATACGGGGCATTTCGACCTTTAATAATTCGAGGAGTGTTGAGTTGTAAAATCAACCAACCTCACCTTTCTTTCGTATTACTTTGCTTCTTTCCATTTTCTTTCATTCCCTCTATTTTTTTTTTTCAGAGTTTCTTTTCACTCGTTCTATCTTACTTCTTCCTTGCTTTCTTTTACCACCTTCTTATTGTCGTTTTCTTATTCTTTCTTTATTCTTAAATATTTTTTTATTCATTTTTCAACTGGTTATTTGATGTTTTCTCATTTTTTTCTTTCTATTATTTATTTATTTATTATTTTATAATTTTCATGTCTTTATTTTTATTTTCTCCTCTTTCTTTCTTTCCTTCTTTCTTTCTTTTTTCTCCATTTTCTGTATCTTTATTGTTGTTTTCTTCTGCCTCTTTCGTTCTTTCTTTCTTCATTTTCCGTATCTTTATGTTTTCTTTCTTTCTCCTTTCTTTCGTCCTTTCTTCATTTTCCGTATCTTTATGTTTTCTTTCTTTCTTTCTCCTTTCTTTCTTTCGTCCTTTCTTCATTTTCCGTATCTTTATGTTTTCTTTCTTTCTTTCTCCTTTCTTTCGTCCTTTCTTCATTTTCCGTATCTTTATTGTTGTTTTCGTTCTCTCTTTCATGCTTTCTTTCTTCATTTTCCGTACCTTTACGTTTTTCCTTTCTTTCTTTCTTTCATTCTTTCTTTCTTTCTTTCTTTATTTATTTATTTTCCGCATCTCTGTTGTTGTTTTCGTTCTTTTACATCCTTTCCTTCATTTTCCGTACCTTTACGTTTTTCCTTTCTTTCTTCCTTTCTTTCTTTCTTTCTTTCTTTCTTTCTTTCTTTCTTTCACCCTTTTCTTTCTTTATTTTCTGTATCTTTATTGTTGTTTTCGTTCTCTCTTTCATCCTTTCTTTCTTCATTTTTCCGTATCTTTACGTTTTTTCTTTCTTTCTTTTTTCCTTCCTTTCTTTCCTTCACCCTTTCTTTCTTCATTTTCCGCATCTTTATTGTTGTTTTCGTTCTTTTTACATCCTTTCTTTCTTCATTTTCCGTACCTTTACGTTTTTCCTTTCTTCCTTTCTTTCTTTCACACTTTTCTTTCTTCATTTTCCGCCTCTTTATTGTTGTTTTCGTTCTCTTTTTCATCCTTTCTTTCTTCATGTTTCCGTATCTTTACATTTTTCCTTTCTTTCTTTTTTCCTTCCTTTCTTTCCTTCACCCTTTCTTTCTTCATTTTCCGCATCTTTATTGTTGTTTTTTTCTCTCTTTCATCCTTTCTTTCTTCATTTTCCGTATCTTTACGTTTTTCCTTTCTTTCTTTCTTTCTTTCTTTCTTTCTTTCTTTCACACTTTCTTTCTTTAATTTTTATTTATTTTGTGTATCTTTATTGTTGTTTTCGTTCTCTCTTTCATCCTTTCTTTCTTCATTTTTCCGTATTATTACGTTTTTCCTTTCTTTCTTTCTTTCTTTCTTTCTTTCTTTCTTTCTTTCTTTCTTTCACACTTTCTTTCATTCTTTCTTTCTTTCTTTCTTCCATTTTTTTCACCCTTTCTTTCTTCATTTTCCGCATCTTTATTGTTGTTTTCGTTCTTTCTTTCATCCTTTCTTTCTTCATTTTTCGTATCTTTACGCTTTTCCTTTCTTTCTTTCTTTCACCCTTTCTTTCTTTCTTTCTTTCCTGTATCTTTATTGCTGTTTTCTTTTGTTGTCCTTTCGTCCTTTCTTCATTTTTCATATCTTTATTGTTCTTTCTTTCGTCCTTTCTTTCTTGCTTTGTTTCTTGTTTCTTTATTCTTCATTTTTCATTATTTTCTTTTCACTTTTCTTATTCTTTATTTATTTCTTCTTCCCCTTTCCTATATTCTTATTCTTTCTTTTTTCTTTCTTTCTTAAAGTCACTTTTCCTTAAAGTTATTTTTATTATTGTTAATGTTCTCTAAGTAAAGCTGTCTTGGTTGCGGACTTCCTGCTTCTTCAAGATTTTCTTAACCACTAAAAAAAAAAAACTATCTCTTTGGCTTCCTTTCCCTCCTCCTTCCCTCCACCATCTTCTCGCATACATCGTCCTCCTCCATTGCTTTTTACTCTTCCTTCTTCCCCGTCAGCCACCCTGCCCAATCTTTTACCTCCTCTCTCATTGATGTTACTGCTGCTTGTAATGTTGATTACCATTCCACAGAGAATTTTGCAACAGTTTTTACTTACATCCGTTGTTTCTCCTTCATCGCTTTTGTAGCTGGGAGAAACACGTCCCTACGTCACACTGCTCACATTTTCTCTCTCTCTCTCTCTCTTACTAATATTCTGAGTATATTTTACCCTTGATGTTATTTGAGGTACTTTTGCACCCATAGCCGTTTTTCAGGCGATTTCTTACTTTTTGCTACTTGCTTGTTCGCCATCTTGAATCTTTGTTTTCTTCTTAGTTCTATCTACCGTTGAAGATTTTCTTCTTTTTGTTTTTCTTTCTTTTGATGTCGCCAGTGTTTACTTCCGGTAATTGATCGATATTTCGGCAAAAATGTGAAAGATTATCATAACATTTACTTCTGTTTATTTTCCTTCTATTGTTATTTATTGTCGTTATTTCTTTTGTTGTCATTTTCTTTCTTTGCAAAATCTTCTTTCGTTTTTTTTTATTGTTTTCTTCGTCACTTTTTTTTATCGTTCTGTCGTGCTTAGGAATTTTATTTCTTTCGTTCTTTATTCTTTCTGTGTTCCTTATTTCATTCTTTTTCCTTTTTCTTTTCTTTGTCTTTCGTTTTTTTTCTTCTTTCTTTGTCATTCAGTTTTTTTTTTGTTTTTTTTGTGTATCTCACATTTCTTGCTTTCTTTGCTTGTTTTTTTTTTTTTTTTTCTCTCGTTCTGTCGTCCTCGGGATTTTTCTTTGTTCTTTCTTTATTCTTTCTTTCTTTCTTTTTTTTGACTTTCTTTTCTGATATTTCTTTATCGTTCTTTTTTTTCTTTCTTTGTCTTTCATTTCTTTCTTTGTCTTTCGTTTCTTTCGTTCTGCTTGTTCCTTTTTTCTTTCTTTGTCTTTCGTTTTTTTCTTCTTTCTTTGTCATTTTTTTTTTTTTTTTTTTGTTTATCTCACATTTCTTGCTTTCTTTGCTTTTTTTTTTCTCGTTCTGTCGTCCTCGGGATTTTTCTTTGTTCTTTCTTTATTCTTTCTTTCTTTCTTTTTTTGACTTTCTTTTCTGATATTTCTTTATCGTTCTTTTTTTCTTTCTTTGTCTTTCATTTCTTTGTTTATCGTTTCTTACTTTCATTCAGTCTTTCTTTCTTTGTCTTTCATTTATTTCTGTGTCATTCTTTAAACTCTTTGTCTTTCGTTTCATTCTTTCTTTGTCATCCATTTCTTTCATTCTTTGTCTTTCGTTTCTTTCATTCTTTCTTCGTCTATAATTTCTTTTTTCTTTGTCTTTCGTTTGTTTTATTTCGTTGATTTTAATTTCTTTCTTTATTTGTTTTTTCTTTCGTTCGCTTTCATTTCTCTCGTTAGTTTCCCCTTTCTTTCTTTTAGTTTCTTTCTTTCTTTCTTTCTTCTTCATTTATCTTTGTTTCTGTCTATTTTTTCTTTGTTTTCAGTCATTTTCTTTCTGCCTTTTCTCATTTTCTTCCTTTTTTTTCTCTCTTATTTACGCATTTCTTTTTCTTTCCTCATTGATCTTTCTTCTCTTTATTTATTTCTGCCTTTCTTGTTATCTTTCTTTGTTTTTTCTTTCTCGACTTTATTCTTCACTTTTTCATACATCCTTCTCCTTGTTTGGGGCATACGACCATATCACGTTGAAACATCGGTTCCGTACGGTCTATCAACGTCGAGCCTCATCAGCACTTAGAAATACCAGGAGTTGCAGTAAGCTTGGATGTGTGGATGGTGAAGTGGATAAAGGTTCGGGAGTGGAAAGGCGTGTTCAAGTTCCATTCGGGTTCGTTATATTCGCTTACGCGAAAATATCTTCGTGAAAGGAGGGAAGCCATCTTTTCCCCCTCTGGCTTTAATTAATTAGTAGGGCTTCTTAAAATTCTTACAATCTAAAATTATTTCTGGTTTTAAATAAACGGCAAAAGGTTAATAAGCCGTAACAAAACCAAATCAATCATTCTTGCTTGCTTGCGTATTTTTTTCTGCCTTTTTACGCTATTGTGTTATTCTCTCTTTCGTCCTTCTTTTTTCATGATTCACTATCATTCCTTTTCACCTTTTACACTCTTTTTCCTTTTTTTCTACATATTTTTCTTTCTTTTTTTCTTTTTTTCTTCGTCCTTTTTCCTGTTATTACTTCCCTTCTTTCTCTCCTCGTATTTTCTTTCTTTTTTTCTTTCTTTCTTCGTCTTTTTAATTCTCTGTTCTTCTTTCTTTTTTTCCTCGTCTTTTTCTTTCTTTATTCTTTCTTTCTTTGTCTGTTCCAGATTTTCACATATGACACGTAATCTAATATGATCATACAAAGAATCTTTCTTTTTCATAAAATATTCCAAATATTTACATTTTCCTTACATTGGTACTTTTTTTCCGTCAGCTCCAAGAAAACAACCAGGAAGACACAGAAACACACACACACACACACACACACACACACACACATATATATATATATATATATATATATATATATATATATAGGTTCACCTATCGTCCATTTTCACAGTCAAGTATTTTTAAGGAAAAGTAAAAATGTTAGTTTTTCAAAATATCTTAAATTTAAGAGACGCTCATAAATATTCATCATGTTAACTGAAAAGTTTAGATAAATTATGGAAGATGCTAAGTGATATAATTTAATGTCTAATAAATGGAAGTGAGTAAATATTATTGTTGTTGATTTTGTTTTTTTTTTTATACACAAATTCATTAATTATACATAGAAATAAATTCAGCCCTAACTTTGATCTTGTTTTATGCCCTTCCTCTGAAGGGTCAATGTTGGACTCTTCCGCCTTCTATAAGATTAGCAGGAGAGAAGGCCTTGGGGGAACAGTCGTACATACTGTCCAGCTGTCCAACTCTCTGCCTCGGCAGAGAGGAACTCGGACTAAGCTTTCCCGCAGGGAAAAGTTTCGTCCTGGGAGGTAGATAGTCCATGAATCCGTTTAGGCGGGTTCAAAGGGAATATTTTTGGCCGAGTCTACGGACTCAGAATACCCACAATAAACCGGTCTTGTGCCACATACACCCTCGTGGTGGGGCGGGCTGTTAAATATTAACAGTCGACCAGATTGTTCATCTGTCGAACTCTCTGCCTTTGGGCAGAGAGGAACCCGGACGAGGCTTTGCCGAAGGACAAAGTTTCGTCTGGGGCGGTT